TTTTGTATGCAAAAGAATAAATAATAGAGACATCGTATCTAGATTAGCACATAGGGTATATATAGCAATTCATATGGGTAGTGCAACGGCTTAAAACTAGTGTAAACTAGTTTAAAGTTAATGACCTGTTTGTAGAAGCCGTCATTAAAATTATAATGTCAGTTACTATGCACACCGCCAAGGCTGTCTGTTTAGTTCGTGACTTCGTGTAGACAGATATTATATAACCTTATTGTACATTAAATAATAAGAAACATATTAATTCTACAAAAGACTGTGATTAGAGTGGATTATTTATATAATGCTGTGCCCGCGACTCCGTACGCGTGGAATAGTGACCTTGATGAAATAAAGAAAAAAATGTTCATCATTTTTTCATGTATTTTTTCATGTTCATGAATTTCCAAACAAACTGTCATCGCCTATTTTATTCTGCCTCCTTAAGGATAAAATTTTTACAAACTTTGAAAGTCACATTTATTTATATTTAATCAACAGCCTAAAAATAAGTTTCAAGCTTCTAGTTTTAGAAACGATAATTCTTCTAAACTATGCATTGTGTATCATTGAATTTGTTTGAAATTAAACTATAAAAAACAATTACATTACAATCAAATTATTTTCTAGTTGCAAAGTTATTATTGTAGAACAAGTTAGACATTGACTTTAATACTATGTCCATAGTATATATATCTTAATATATATCTCAATACATAAGTGATCAGATAGTCAATTCAGATAATTTATAAAATTAATAAAATACATTGCTTAGTTATTCATGGTTACCCTATAATCTATCTCAGACTATACTTGTCTTTAGAAATGCGGTTACCACGACAAAAAATGGTATATTCCAATCAATATTATGGCTCAGTACCTCAAAAATTGCTATTAATCGAATGTAAATGCCCATCTTTTTCATAAAATGCCATACACTGTCATAGTATCTACACATTTACAGCCAAGTCCCCCCACCTTTATTGTATGTTTCTGATATTGTCAAATATTATTCACAGATTTTTATACAGTAGGTGATGATGACTAAGTAATAGTGTATAATTCCTACGTCATAATAACCGACCAAAGTCGGGGCAGGTTACTAGTTAAAAGAGTAACTAATTGCACAGGTATTTTTACAGTGCGTTGTTGTTTGAAATTTAGGCATTTTAAAATGGACTGGGCCTTATTAATAATGACCTATCCGTAACATAAACCATGGCACTACCAATATATATAGCACATACACATTTGCATTCCTTACACTGCGATAACACTTTTACTGATGGACGCTTTTATAAATTACCTACCTATTTGATGGTATTTATAAATTTATAAACCACCAAAATCAACCGATTTTGCCGTGAGCGTTTATAAATGTGAACGACTGGCCAATCGTCGTGCGCGGATTCGCACGGGTGGCCGTTTGCCCTCGATGCAAATTTAACATCGCTTCGAACTTCGAACGAAGTCTCGCAACCTCTGCATTATCTGTCAATTATCAAAAACAATTTCGTCTATACGTAGGTAGGAATTTTGAATATTATTAAATAATTTCCAATATTTATGAATGATTGACCACATAAAGATTTAAACAAAAAGACATTATTTTTATATCGGTTTGTAGGTAGATTGTTTCTGAGGTACTAAAACCATTTGTATATATATTTCATTTATAAATCAATATAATAACCAATGAGGCATTGGACATATGAAATTTCATCAAAATCGAATCAGTAGTTTTGTATTTTAATTAAAATAGGTAGATATCTAATTGAAAAATGTATTAATATCCTATGGTGTTCATTTGATGAAACAGTAAGAAAAAAATTATCTAACACGATATGATAACATTTAAACTAAATCTTGAAACATTAAATTGATTTGACATATATTTTAAACCAAGTCCAAAAAAGGAGGAGGTTCTCAGTTCGGCTGCATTTTTTAAAATGTTTGTTACTTCATAACACCATCATTTATAAACCGCTTTTTTTTTATTTCAAATAGTATACTGGTAGTATTTCAAATAGTATACTTTGATATTGGTCCTATTTTTTTGAGTTCAAGAAGTGGGTTTATTTTAAGAAAATTAATATTTATTTCAACTTTCTATATACCTATTTATTTATGTACTCCTATTTAATATCAAAAAGATAAATCACCTAGTTTTAATAATTTGTTACCGGAACAACTAATTTCTAATCGAATTTCTGTCATTTGTGTTAAACATTAAAATAATAATTTGAAGAGTCAAACAGGCTGTGGCTCGGTCGGTTCTAACTTCTGAGATTATGGGTATGGTTTTATGGCTTCACGTTTTTTCAAAGAGCAGGTAGGTGCGAACCTAGTTACCATATTTTTTTGATGGACCAATATAGAATGGTGCCGGGTGCCGCTGCCTCAGCTATAATGAATTCACGGAAAATTAATCGGTTTCTAGGGCGATCGTGTGGTGGTCGACCTGACATGTCCATTACTAACTATCCTCTCCCCATTATTTTGTATTTCTTATAACAGTATAACGTTTCTGTGCGGAGTATTCCATCAGGTACTTCTTAGTTGATATGTACATACTGTATGTTTAATGAGGTTAATGTGTTTATGATTACATCACATAAATACATATTACATACCTACTTATGCAATTTGTTGCTATAATACAAATAGATGTCTACTGTTACTGTGGTTTTTATATTTGTCACAAATAAATACCTAAGGACCAACTTTTCATTATTTTTACGGTTGTAGTATGTAATATTATTTTACAGTGACTACACTACTTACCTACCCTGTTTTGTTTATGATGTTGACTAGTGCTTACAAAGGCACATTCAGTCACTTAGACTTCATTTCGGATTCCCCAAGTATTAACGAGCATACTTAAATATACTTTTTTTATTTAACAGACATTACTGTCAATGTACTGTAGATCTCAATAACTTTTTTGTTTCTTCCTCCCTCAAATAACTAATTAGATAAGATAGGTACCCATTACGGCAAACCCCGTAGAGGTCAACCTGACATGCATTGGCAGTTATGGGGCTACTAATACCCATTACTAACAATCCCCTCCTCTCTTATGTGTAACCAATGATTCAGCAAAACTTGTAAGTTGAATAATGTTTATTTATCGCTAACCATATCATTACAATACTACAAGTACTGTGTAGCACTGGAATTATTTCAAAAGTTATAATGAATCTTAACTCTTAAGCAATTAGAACTAATATTGAACAAGATAGATTGAGTGGTAACATTGAATAACGCGCAGGTTGGCTGCGCAAGTGTGTTTCCTGCCATCTGTGGACGAATATTGGAACGATTAATTAGTGTTGCAATAAAAGAAATGCTTAGGAGAACTAGTAGGTTTTTGTTTTTTTTAATATATGTACTTACATAAAAGGTTTTTTTGAATGTAAATGAAATGGTGCACTCGCCTGCCCTAACGGTTTACGCTGGCGGGCCACCAGTGGAGTATGATAAGATGAACACGAGGTCAGGTCAGTTAGCCCATCGTGACAAATTCACCAGGAATCTATCACGATGGTTTCTATGGGGAACTGCGTGGAGGTTAACCTGACATGGTACATTGCTAATAATGGGACCATGAGTCCACATTACAAATCCCCTCCCTCCCTACATAAAATGTTCCGTTTGTCATTTTGAGTGTTTCTGTAATAGTCCCTGTTTAGTGTTATTAGATGATTTTAGTGTCATAAAATTATTATATATACATAATAATTTAAAATCGTCATGATATTTTAGTAACTGTTACCTACTAATATACTTGCAAGTTTTACCTCTTTTTGTTCCCTAGTGGAGGCGGTCATGCAAAATTTGATTTGTGATAATAATCTTTATTTGTACAAAGCCGTTAAGTCTTGGAGTCTGGAGAAAGAATAAAGGTCCATTGCATGCTTATTTATTTAGTTCAGACTACTAATGGCTCATATTATAAATATCTTATAAACGAATATACATATGAAATACATAAATTATATTCTAGATATTTTACATGTAAAATAAAGCGATTTTTTAAAATCTTATATCATTATATATAAAATTATACGTAGCTAAATTATGAAATTTATAATTTTTCCATTTTATCGTAATAAATTGTCAGTGAAATTTTGAAAATCCAACATTAGACAGTAAAAACATCAACTGCTTATGAGAGAAATACTGAATAGGAACACTAGATTATAAGATAAGAAATTAAGAAGACAATTGTAGCCTTGTACCACGAAAAATTTTATTCAAATACGATTGGTAAAAAGTAAACATGACCGATGTAAGACCGGAGTCTATGTCTAATTATATCAACGTTCTACAACTTTGTTGTAAAAGAAGAAAATTTAACAAACTAATTATAGAACAAATTTCTGTTTTTAATATCATATATGTGTACATTACTTTAATTAATATATTTTTGTATAGGACTTAACCCATAATTTTAAGACCGATAGTTCAATTTAAAAACGGGTAAAACATAGTAATAGTTATTAACTTTTATTATTGTAGCTTTCCGGAAACGGTGCAGTTTAATGTTCCATGATAGCTGCCATAAAACTTAATATAGTTATTACCAACTCTTTGCAAGTCTGGAAATTTTCGATACAAAGCAGGTGGTATTGATTAATTTGAAAAAGGTGTAATGAAAATATTAAGATGGAAAATATTTAACGTTTGTAACATTACTACGATTTTATATGATATCAATGCGAGGTGGGTGATTAACAAAGATAATATTTCTTTTTTAAATATTCTAAAGCAGTGTACAAGTTTAGCAAAAATATTATTAATTAAATTATCTGATTTTTAATTTCAACAACAATTTATTATTAATTGTTGTTGAACATACAAATATTACATTACTAATGTAATATTTTTAAATAAAATTTATTTATAATAGGTCAGGAGACCTGTTTAATAAATGGTAGTTTGGAAGAGTTTGTAGTAGTATTTTTATGAGATACTAGCAACATTGTCATAATTGACCGCCACCCGTGAGCAAGTCGTCGCTCGATCTCGCTCTGTCGATCGAGTCCGGTTGTGGAAGCCATTTTATTCTTGTGAATTTGACAAATTATTTTTGGAATTTTCGTATGCAGTTATAGTGTCAATGTGTGCCTGTTTCGATCGAGTGTCTTTTGTAACGTGTGATTGTGCACTAAATAGAATGTACGAGTTTCAAATCGGTTTGTGTTGACCTGCCCCGTTTCTTACGCGGTCGCAGGCAGGCATCGATTAGTGCAACAAACAAGGCGGCCTCTAATAACGGCGAGTCGAGGCTTTGGACTAGTTTGTGGTGTGCGCCATGGGCAATAATGCTGCCACCGCTAACAAGAAGGTGGACGCCGCCGAAAGCGTCAAGGAGTTCCTCGATCAGGCCAAAGAAGATTTCGAGGAGAAATGGAAGAAAAATCCTACCAACACCGCCGGACTGAATGATTTCGAGCGGATAAAAACTCTCGGCACAGGCTCCTTTGGCCGGGTTATGATAGTCCAACACAAACCGACAAAAGAATATTATGCTATGAAAATATTAGATAAGCAGAAAGTGGTAAAATTGAAGCAGGTAGAGCATACACTTAACGAGAAACGTATCCTGCAGGCTATCAATTTCCCGTTCTTGGTGAGCCTCAAGTTCCATTTCAAGGACAACTCTAATTTGTACATGGTGTTGGAGTACGTGCCCGGTGGTGAGATGTTCTCGCACCTACGTAAGGTAGGTCGATTCTCAGAACCGCACTCACGTTTCTACGCGGCACAGATCGTGTTAGCCTTCGAATACCTTCACTACCTCGATCTCATTTATCGGGACCTGAAGCCCGAGAACTTGTTGATCGACTCGCAGGGCTACCTGAAAGTGACTGATTTTGGTTTTGCGAAGCGTGTCAAGGGTCGTACGTGGACATTGTGCGGTACTCCCGAGTACCTCGCCCCTGAGATCATCCTCTCCAAAGGATACAATAAAGCTGTGGACTGGTGGGCGCTCGGTGTCCTCGTGTACGAAATGGCCGCTGGATACCCGCCTTTCTTTGCAGACCAACCCATACAGATCTATGAGAAAATTGTATCCGGTAAAGTGCGTTTCCCGTCACACTTTGGTTCAGATCTGAAAGATCTCTTACGCAATCTACTGCAGGTAGACTTGACGAAGCGTTATGGCAATTTGAAGGCGGGTGTGAATGACATCAAAGGCCACAAATGGTTTGCGAGCACTGACTGGATAGCTGTTTTCCAGAAAAGGATTGAGGCACCATTCATTCCGCGCTGCAAGGGTCCCGGTGACACTAGTAACTTTGATGATTATGAGGAGGAGGCGCTGCGTATCTCATCAACTGAGAAGTGTGCGAAGGAGTTTGCCGAGTTCTGAGCGCATAGTTGGTGCCTGCGAGCGGACACTACCGTGAGTAGGTGTTTTGTATTAGTGAATCTTCCGTGACAATGTGGTCGTGGAATGGTGACGAGTGCATCTGAATGCCAGCTGCTTTGGGTGATCATAGACGCTGAAGCGGCCCCGAGTTGGCACTCTAGATGAATCAGTTGGAGTGTAAGCGAGATGTTTGTAGTACTGATTTCCGATATTTCGGTGGCGTTCATTTGCTTAGTGCCCTTTCAAGTTGACGTATAATAGACCAGGTAGGAGTTGAAGTGATCCTTGTACTGATGATATTCCCCAAAACAATTAAGTCACTCATACACTCATCAGAGCCTCTTAGTGTCTGATATTGAATTTCATTTTCTACAATATGTAACAGAATTAACATATTTGTATTATATGTACTCATATTAGAAAAACTTTGTTTCTTGCTTAGCCCAATTCTACATTAAAATATATATTATGTCGCAAATATAGAAAGTCAAGTTATGATCTGGAAATCATATGTGATTTTTAAAAAGTTTATTAATTTGTAATATAGCCTATACACATACTTTACATTACATTACATTGTAGCATGGCTTGTATTTATTAATTATATTGTGACATCATATTGATATTGGAAACAAATACATAATAAGTTTTCATATATGTAGATGATTTGTATTAATTCTGTTACATGTTGTATAAATAGTGTTGCATTGCCATTGAAATGAGCTTTATTTCAATGTATATTTTATATTGAATATACATCATCAAAGGCTACATTTTTATAACTTACTTGTAATAAATTGTTTTGCTTTTTTATATTTATTAATCACATTTATATTTCTCAATTTCAATCTAGATACATCACTAAGCCATCAATTTAAAGCTACAAATTTGATCACTAATTTTTAATGGAGTAATGAATTGAATTTCCTAAAATACTTATCTTGATGGATTGTTATTATGTCTACTTAAGTTTTAATTGATTGACATTTCTATATTGGTTTTATTTACATAGTTATATTAGTGTATCTGTTGATATTTTATGTAAGAATTGTAACTGCATCAAAATATGTTGAGGAGATTAATTTATTGTATTTGTATATGTGTAGATGTGTTATTTTGTGCAATTTGACCTGTGTTTGTGATCTGATGTGAGGATTAATTTGGATTTAAGTGTATTTTGTATTAGTTCCTTATTTTGTAGGTATAGGTGTACTGTTATTGTAAAATGGACCCATCCACAGTCTGCATCTACAGTCAGACTTATTTAGCAGTCTTCATTATGCTGTACCAGGGGCTTATTGCTAGCATCAGTTTTTCATTAGTAAATATTAAAAAAATACTGTGACATATTCCCTACTTGTAACTGAACAGTCTTCATATCCTTCTAATGTCTGTAATTTTCATATTATATTCAGCACAAAATAAATCATGAGAGAATTTTTATATCCAGGTACTTACTGTTTTCAGTTACAAGGGGAATGTGTTTTGAATTCCCTAGTCTAATTTAAAATGCTGTTATGGAGGTAACACAGCTTTGAGACTGATGTTAACAATAAGCATAAATATATTAAATTATTTATAACACTTTCAGTCCCACACTAAGAGTGAGTGAACAACAATTGACTAACTGACAGTGTTTATTATGAAGTTTGTTAGCTATTAGATGTAGGACTTTGAATCCAGGCTGTACAAATAAATCTAGTTATTTGTAGTGCATTTAATATTGTGGAAACATCGCAAGCGTCTGTGGTAATAATCATTAGGTTGAATTGTCTTGGGAAGGTTACTTAAATTCAGCACTTACATTTCGCTACTCGTGTGATTTTCAGATATGTCTTTTAGCTGAATGTCTTGGAACTGACAGCTTATTATTGTTAGAACTGGAGAAAATTGAATGATAACAAAAAATCATATCAATCTGTTTGTACAATGAAAAATACTCTTTCTGAATCAATGTAATTACTTATTTATCATGTATAAAAATATCTTACAATCGTTGTATATCCTGTGCATCAGCTGTGTAATATGTAATGTGACCAATTGCTATTATGATGTTTAAAATTTTTATCTTAAAATCTGATCAAAATCTGAGATATGAATACCTGGTGTAGTGGTTATGTTATGTTTTAATCTTTGGCAATGGTCAGATAGCAAATAATATTATAGCAGATAGTAAATAAATTTACCATCTGATATGTCTTAGTCTCAGGAAATGACATTTTATATTTTTTTATATATAAACTTATTTGAATGTCAAACAGGTATTCTATCTTTATGGTCAGATTTCCTGCTTTGAGACCTGTACTTGTTTGTTTTATAATAGAATAGATAGGGTTCTACCTAAAATCAATGTCAAAAACAATGTCTTAACTGGTGAACAGTCTAGAATGTCTAGGGTTTAGTACCTATGTGTAATTGTAAATCATTTATATTGTATATTTCTTTTTGGTGCCATAGTTTTTTTTTATTCGAATAGTTCACTGTACTGCTGTAAATATTTAGATAATTATTAACTAGATTTTTTGTTATTTTATGTATATATCAATACATTTCGTATTTGGATTTTACAACAACAGTAAAATTTATTTTGTGGAAGAGGATCTCACTTTGTATTAGATTACTATGGTTTTGTTTAATTCTACGCCGATATAAGACCGCAAACCTTTGGATAGGAGAATTGATCACCAGCGGAATAATTCCTCCTGTGATCAGTCTAGAGGTCTAGCGATCACAGTTCGTCTTATGAATGTCTTTTAACAATGTTCCAAGTATTTATTCAATATAACAATCGGCGTATATAAATCCTAAAACGCTTGTAAATGTAATGTTAATAATAACAAACGTTTTCTGTGTAACACCATAGAGTAAATGGTATTTAACAAAATAATACTAATCTAGTAACCAGTGAAATTCCATTAGTTTTTGTCGCATTTATGTCAGTATTACTTTAATTCTGTGCACCAATTATAGTGAGACTCTGAGCTCGATGTATGGGTCTTAAAAGTACCTAGTCACGGTTCGATTCCTTGTTTCTTAGATGCGACATTTTATATTGTGACAAAGTTATATAAATATACATGTATTATTTTAAAGTCTTATATAGAATACGAATGAATTAGGTTGATTAAGTGGTTATTTCTTTGAAGTTGTTTCAACAAGGGAATTGGGTTAACTGATATCAGTCTTAATTAAGCTAACTCGTTATTCAACAATTCTTTCTTAATTATTATTAGTCATTAATGAATGAATAGATACGTACGACTTTTCAATCACGTTGCATCCATTGTTCGCATGGTAGTTCAATGTGAAACTAAGAAATTGGTATCTAGTTTCTATTGTCTAGTTTGCCAAATGATAAGTGAAAAGTCGATATTCTCTGCACGCGATCTCTTTTAAGGGTTAGGCAGAGAGATGTAGATACATGTTAAGATGACATTCACCATTTGGACATTGTTTAATTATTTAATATAGTGCTCTCAGGCATTTGTAATATCGCCGTTTCTGAACCTTTCTAACGCAGTAAAATTTAGTCATTTCAAGGTAATTATTTTTTAAATTGTAAGAATAATAAGGTATTTCTGATGTGTACCCCTTCGTTACTATTATCATTGTATATAATTATATAACTATAGAGTGATTGTGTCCCTGGTAATTAGGAGATTTGATATCAGCTTCGTTATCTGCAGAACTTCATTCCAGTAGTTTGACAACTTGCTCATCAACACAATATGTAATTTCTAATGTGAACATTTTAAGGCCAATTTGGATATTAGAAACATTTGTGTGACAGTATGTGTATTTGCGGAAACGTCTTTTTATATATCTGCGTATATTAATATTAAAATGTTCATATCTAGATCTATTATATCGAGTGCCTATAGCATTGAAAGTTCAAGTGTAAAAAGTCAGTTGATTTCAGTAATTATTTGTCACCATGTATTGATCTTCCATAAAATTACGATGAATTAAAAATATCGATGTAACAGTAAACAGTTGTTTGATTTTATAGCCATTATTTGTATTGTCTCGTTTGAGAATATGCATAGGTACATATATATATATATATATATATTCTATCAGCCTATTTGACAATGTTGCTGTAATGATTTGGAGTATTAATTTAATTGTAAACTGCTTGTATCCCACGGCGATATCTGCCTGGAATACGCACATCTTACACGCTAATCTGCAGGTAAATAATTTTAATGAAGTGTTGAGTTTATACGTTACAAAGAAACATACAAAATAATCGAATCTTACATCTTTATATCCAAAAATTTTGTATACATTTTTACGAAAACGACAATAGTATAAAATTGGCATAGTTAAACGGTAGAGAAAGCGAATAAAGCAAATATTTTTTTATAAGAACCGTTAAATGAATAAAATTCATAAAAAAACATTAAATACTACCATTTATTTAACATACAGACAAATAGACTCGCTAATAGTATTTGACAATATAACCGTAATAATATTCTAAGTTAAATTTTAAATGAATTATGGTCGAATTTCGACTACGCGATCACTAGTAAATGTAGATTCGCAAATATTTGAATGGTATGCAGACGTATCGTTCGCACGGTGCTTAGAGTGGACGATAGCACGTGGGGAAGCAGTGCTCGTTTAATATGTGGCTTCCTAATAAAGTCGGTCCTGCCAACTGTACGTTTGATGCCGGTACACTACGAATGATTCTATCGTACTTAGCTATTTTGTTTGTTGTCAAACTCGCAATCAATTAATATAGATTGGTTTCGAATGATGGCACAAATCATCTAGATAGGTATTTCGTGAATGATCAATGTGAAGAATTTTTTGATAAAAGATAAGTTTACTTGTATTTATTTATCATTGCTTTATTTCCGATGGTTGCGGGTTCGATTCCTCCCATGGAATAAACATTTGTATTCCTGAGTATGATTTATCAGTCTGGGTGTTTTCTATGTATGTTTTAAAAAAAATGTATTATCACATTACTCTTGTTTTTTTATGTAATTGGAATAGCAGACAAGCTCACGACCAAGATGATGGTAAGAGGGAACTGTTGGTTATAAATATGAAGACCAACTACCATAATCAACTATCAACTAGTACATGTAACTCATGTGGTACGCCTTCATGTGTTACTTTTCTCTTATTCTCGAGGATTACAGATTGAAATTACTATTACTGGTATTATAATTTTAGTGCCACATCTCAACTGATACAGCTTACAAAGAAGATTGGCAGGTCAATTATTTCCTAATAAAATAGTAAAGTACTAAATGCTATATAATTTAAACAGTAACAGTATTTTAATTCTAATGTTCTAATGGATAATGGGTGAGTTCTGTTTACTGAGATACAATCTTCGTGCCTAGTTAAGTTCCCAGGCTCATACAGTCACAAATTGTCTATGAAAATGATTTAAGATATATGACTGACTATATGTATGACTGTCTTTATTTATTGTTAGTATTAAATGAATATTTAATTTATTTA